GGGAGCAGAAGCGGCTGAATGCTCTACTCCCCATGGTGGTGAGACGGGCGGAGGGGACAGTACGGGTGTGTGGAGGAAGATGATCTGAGGGAGCGGGAGGGAGTAGGGAACATGAAGGAGGTCGGACAGATATGGGGGGCGAGGTTGTGGATGGCCTTAAATGTTAATAGAAGGACTTTGAAATGAATACGGAAGTGAACCGGTAGCCAGTGGAGCTGTTGGAGGACAGGAGTGATGTGGTGGATGGAGGGGTACGAGTAATGATACGGGCAGCTGTGTTCTGGACCAATTGAAGTTTATGGAGGGATTTAAGAGGGAGGCCGAAGAGGAGAGAGTTACAGTAATCCAGACGGGAAGTGACGAGGCTGTGGACAAGGATGGCGGCAGTGTGGGGGGTAAGGGAGGGGCGGAGGCGATTAATGTTTCGTAGGTGGAAGTAGGCAGACCGGGTAATGTTATTGATGTGGGATTGAAAGGATAGTGTGCTGTCAAGGATGACACCCAGACTCTTAACCTGGGGGGAGGGTGAAACAGAGGAGTTATCAATAGTAAGAGAAAAACTGTTGGTTTTGGATAAAGTATCTGTAGTCACCTACACACACACACACGCACGCACAACAATACTAGATTATACAATATTATATGACTTTGTGTACAGTTCAAACAGTCAATCAAGACTAAATCAAAGACTTTAATGTGTCTCACAGTTCTGGAGACTCATCAGCAGGTGTTTTCTGCCTCCTGTCTGAATCTAAATATCTGAATTCATTTACTGTTTGTCGGCGTGTGGAGGAAATGTTAAACTCTCTAAGAATCGGTATGAATTTAAAACACTGTGACGTAAACCTGCAGGGAGTCTAAGATCGCCTCCTCTGAGAAGATGAGGATCGGAGGCACGGCAGAGATGGCCTGGATGCAGATCTGTGACCCGTCCGATAAGGAGAAGGGTCACTACACCATCGAGATCTCAGACGGCGTGAAGACTCACACCAGGACCTTTGACCTGTCTGGACAAGGTAAAAAAAAATTTGATTGAGGCGTTTTTATTTATTTGTATTTTACTTTTTAATCTTATAGCCTTCGAGTTACTATATAAGTTTGGTGACTGAAGTCAGTTGTCATGAGATTATTTTTCGTTTTGCAGCGTACACCGATGCCTATGAGGAGTACCTGAGACTTAAGTAAGTTATTTGAAGGTGCAGCAGTTTGTGAAAATGTGTCTTTCATTTGTGTCCAAATTATATTAATCATGCCGTCTGTCTTTTATCTTTTAGGGCAGCTGCATTTGCCGAGAAGAGTGAGTATATGTCATTATTTATTACACCGACTCTGTGAGTGAGAGATCACTCCTCAGGGACTTTTGACCTAAATTTAAAAAGTTACGTTTGTTAGAGTTATTTGCTTTCAAGGCAAAGTAGAGTCAGAGCTTTACATTCCTGCTTCCTCTCCCTCTGAACTCCTCCACCTTGTTTACACTGGGACAGGTGGAGTCTTACTTCACCTCACAATGCAAACAGGCTGATATTCTTCACTACAGTAGAGTAATGTTTGTCCGCTGTAGTCGGTGCAGACGTGACACACATGGTGTTGTCTCTCCTCAGACCGCGGCAGAGTGGTCGGTGGTCTGCCTGACGTGGTCACCATCATGGAAGAGAAGGTGAGGATGTCTCACACTCTAATTAAATCGATCAACACGTCACTGTGATGAAAATGATGACGCTAAATTATAAGTTTGTTGTAGGTTTGTTTTGTTTGCAGCAGTACATCGGCCAGGGTTACACTTGTCCTACGAGTTGCTCTGCCCTGGCAGCATTCCTACAGAACAAGCTTATTTACTACTTACCCTAACCAGATATCTTGTAGTCTGGATGCCTCCGGGGCAGCGGTTCTAAACCTCCAAACAAAGCTAAGAACCACTGTGACCCCGTGTCTCAGGGCGACGGTGGTCACAGGTTATAACTTCAGAAGTCATTTAACCCGTATCACATGAGAGGGAGTGGTGATGGTACGAGGTTCGAGGCCGCCGAGTTACGACATCACTCCCTCTCGTGTGATGTTACTTTTATACAACATGTGATATATTAGTTAAATAAGCAACAACGGATTATGATCTGGTTGTTTATTTTATCATTTATTTGGCGATGCAAACACAAATAGTTGCGGCAGCTGGACTGTTGCTAAGCAACACGTAAACATTTTCCTGCACAGTGCCGGACCAGTTACCTCAGGTGTGTGCGCGCTGAAGTATCCAGGCTTTAATTATCATTTAATTAAAATGTTTTCATCTTTGCAAAGTTTGTTACTAATCTAAGAAAGATAACGGCCGTCAATGTAACGCTTAATTAACGGTTAAGCGGAGTGATACGTGTAGTTAAAAGTCCCAGTGCTGTTATACTCTATGGAATGACTCTCGTCCAATCAGGTTACTTGGCTGGAACTAGCTGTTGAATGGATGGTGATTAAACCTCTGTGGATTGTTTTATTTATTTATTTATTTATTTATTTTTAAGTCTGAAAAGATACAAGAAATATAATTTTTCCTTCTTCAGATTTATCTTTCTGTCCCTTTGGGGGGGTCCCGACCCTCAGGTTGGGAACCAGTGCTGTAAGGAAAAGAGGGTTTTTTAATGATTTAGTTTAACTCATCTTTACATTGTGTTTGGTTCAGAACTTAAACAAACCCACATTGTTAAAAAATCGCTCTTTAGATAAATGTTGACTTGAGTTGACTCTCGACCCTCCCCAGTCCCTGAGCCTGACCTGCACCGTGTGGGGCGAGCCGACCCCTGAGGTCACCTGGTTCAAGAACGAGCAGGAAGTCACCTCCACCGAGCACACCAGGGTCATGTTTGACGGCGGCAAGTTCGCCAGCCTCGTCATCACCAAAGTCACTCCCGAAGACTCTGGCAAGTACAGCATCAACGTGCGGAACAAGTACGGCGGCGAGTTCGTCGAGATCACCGTCAGCGTCTACAAGCACGGCGAGCAGATCCCCGAGCCCAAACTGGGACAGCCCAGAATGGCCACACCCGCCGCTACACCTGCGACCACGCCTATGCCGCCCAAGTCCCCAGCTCCCCACTCCAAGACCCCGACCCCCACACCTTCCAAGTCCCACACCCCAGCGCCATCCCTGAAGAGCCCGACTCCGGCATCCACCCCAATCCCCAAGTCTCCAACCCCAACCCCCAAATCCCCGACCCCCAAATCCCCGACCCCGAAATCCCCGACTCCACCTCGCAGCGTCAAGTCTCCAACCCCGCCCAGATTCATGAAGTCTCCGACCCCGCCCAGGAAGTAAGCGGTGGGGGTTGACACCAGAGGGGGAAACACTTGCTGTTAGCAACACTGATTTTTAGCATGAGCGTGAAACCGTGTGAAGAAGTACTTACTTAGACGTAGTCACTGTTACAGTCCCACTCTCTTGCACCGCTGCACACTCTGGACTACGACTCTGAAAGAACAGGCCGCTAACTAGTCCTGCACAGGTTACTTTTATCGAGAACTAGTTGCACAGTAGACACAGGAAGAAACCCACAAAACAGGGACTTTTACAGCGGCTGCTTGACATAGACGTCCTTCTCAGTTACTTCATGTCATTCAACTGGTCACAGGTGGGGTAAAAAAATAAAAAGCAATAAACTCAGAAAAGGTTGATGTTAACGTTCAGTGTTTTAAAAGCTGCACCTTCCACTACGCAGCGTTAGTGGAATGCCCCGTATTCATCTTTTTGTTTGTGGATGTTAAATGGGAATTCTGGTTTATTACAACTTGGGTCTTACTCATGTAGTTTTGGCCGTAGAAACAAACTCGTACTCATCAGGGATGTTTTTTTTGACGAGCAGGTTGCACGAACTTATTTTGAAGAGAAAGAGGGAAAGACTTGAGGTTGGTGCTCCAAAGTTTTCCTGTTAAACGAGGGACATTTCAGGTGTGCACACTTTGAGTTTGACCTCCATATAAAGTGGTTTAGATAATCTGGCCGTACCTGTTGTGTTGTCTACAACCTGTCTGATCATGTTTATTGCCCTGACTGACTTTATTGAAGTGATGTCACCATATTTCTAGATCTCTGCAGAGAGTACAATGTTTTCATTGTTGGTAAAAAAATAAAAATAAAAAATAAAAATGTCCAAAAGTACGGAAATAAAACCAGAGTTGTTATGAACCAGAGTCCTTTAAGCTACTTTAATCCCAGGTAGCTTTCATCTGTTGGAGGTGTCTGTCTATGACATGTTGTGTCTCCCCCCCGAACGCTTTGTGATGGCAATAAACTTTACTTATCAACCTCCCTCTGTCGTCTGTGTGAGTAATCTTCTCTCTGCCTCTCCCTCCCTCCTGACAACAGGTGTGTGAGTCCTACAGCAGCAATGAATAAAGCCCAGAGTAAAAAAAAAAAAAAGGCAAAACAAACAAAATGCCCAAACTGTGTTGTATCCAGGCTCAGAGTGACCATGTGACAGCTGAGCAAGGTAAACACAACCTACTTCTGCTCCTGTAACCCAGGTGAGCTCGGGGTGGGCGGGGCTTGTTGCAGTGTGTGGAGCTGTCAGTGGAGGGAACAGGGCAGGTTCAACAGGCTATTCTTTTTCGCTTAGAGAGTTCAAATCCACACCTTAGTGCTGTTGGTTCATGCAGGAGTGAGTACAGACTCCGAGGCTGACTGGAGGGTTTAACTTTGTTTCCTGAAGGTTTCGCTCTCCGCTCGCACAGGAAAGACAAGGTTTCTTTTACCAGCCATGAAGTAAGTCTGTTTTATCATGTCTTTTTTTTTCACTGAACACTTGTTCAGTCAGTTTCTGTTGTAATGCTCAAGGATCAGTGACCGAAGAAGTCACCTCATGCCTTGTATTGTTTTCCTTCTTGCGGTGAATCTCACTCGACGGACAGGTTTTCACATTTTTCTCTACATATGTAAACATGCTTTTTTCTCCCTCAGTGAGATTTCCAGTGTGTGTTGGAGGTTTCCTGTCTGAACAGCATGGTTAACAGTCATACCGCTTGTCACACTGAAGGTAAAGGAAAAGCCTGTTGCACGCAGAGATTCAGAGGAGATCCGGCATCCATGGAGTCCAATCTGTCCTGCCTGTCTTCACTGAAAGAAGAAGACAATGTGGTTTACGTTCAGCCACATTACAGAGAGTCCTACCGCCTGGCCATTTACGCCCTGCTCTGTGGCGGCAAGGAGGCCTACGAGGAGTTCCTCCGAGCCGAGCAGATCAGCCACTTCCTGTCAGAGGAGGAGATCTTCTTCATCTTGCAAAATGCAGAGCTGCCCGCCGTGGAGGACAACGACGACATAGACGGGAGACGGGTCGCGGACGACCTCAGCCCCTCCACCTACTTCCCGACGGAGTCCGACGAGGAGGTGCCGGACCTGGACCTGGGCTGGCCGGAGGTCATGCTGGAGGGCACGGACACCAGCATCAGCCTGCTGTTTCACCCGCCCAGACAAAACACACCGACCATCAAGGAAGTGGTTCGCAAACAGATTCAGGAGGCGAGGCAGGTGAGAACCAAACGCTCTGAAGGCGAAAGTCTAAAACAGACCCGGGTGATGAACGTGCATCATCCTCCTGTCTGTGGTGCACACACACACACACAATGTCAAGGACGGGAATAATAGCAGGTTATCTATAGCACAAACACAATGACAGGCGTTGCTTTTTGTCAGGGTAAAATACACATCATTACATACCTCGCTGCGCACACAGTGGAGTGTAGGGCTCAGCTGCAATATACATCAACACACACAGAGCTGACTCAGTTACTGTGGCAGGAAAACTTCTACCATCCATCCTCAAAATAAATCGCAGCTGGTTATGAAACGCTCAGCTCTAAAGACCAGTTTGGTTCGTGTCCCTCGAGTGTCAGGAACTCTGAATCCTGTAGGTTTGAGAAGTAGCCATAAACAGTTTAGTAAAGTTTTATAAAGTCTGAATTCATTACATTTAAAATGGTTTCAAGTTTTCAAGTCAGAAACAAAAAAAGTATAAGAAGCATCTGAAACCGACTCCTGCTGCCATCAAAGATGAACCGGATGTCACGACCTCTGAATTTTTTCCGTGTACATCCTGCAGTTTAAACTTTATAGAGATAAATAATAGAAATAAAACTTTATTTTTTAAGAGTCTGTGATTTCCTAATTATTTCCCCTGTGGTTTCTGGGACAGGACTGTGCGATCTGGTGCTTTGGTTGGCTGTATTACACTGATGAGCAAGACGGCTCCAGTCAATTAAAAAGCGTGCAGAAACACATCACACAGCCTGGATAGATGCACTTCATCAGTGAGCGCTCACATGTTAGGACACAGCCTCCTGCTTCTCTACAGGTCCGAGCCGCTCTGTCCTGCGCCGCCTCGCTCGCTGCAGTAACATGATCGTAACTGGTTAACCTGGATGTGGATGAGTCTGTTGCAGGATTTTTAAAGTGGGGGGGAAAAGTTTTCTTTACTCTTTTCTGTAAAAAGAAAATAATCCATTACAAGTGAAAGCATCCAAAATCGTACTGAAGTGGAAGTATTTTTAATGAGTGTAATATAAAGTCTCAAAAGGAAATACTATCATATTCCCTAAATTAGAAGAACCTCCAATTTATATGTGTTTGAATAAAAACACTTCAGTTAAATTCCACAAACTGCAGCAGTTTTTAATAAATGGTGAACTATTGGTGATAATTAGTTGACCTCTCATTAGATTTTAATTTTTTTTTTAAAAATCAAATGAAACCAAATGTGAAAAGACATGAAATCAACATTAATAATAACAATAACAACAATAATAGAAAAGTGTATTTATTCATTGTTCCTCACCTCATAATAAGAATTATTAAAGCCACCGTTAACAGCTAGTGTTCATCTCACGGTAACTTCCGTTGAACATTCAATAAACCTTTATTGTACAACAGTTTTTGGGAAAGCAATATAAACACTTGTCAGATGTAAAAGTGTAAAAGAAAAATACAAAAAAATGGAGGTGTAACAAACTGAAGTAACGAGAGCGTATCCAGCTGCTTGTGACTTGCAGCTGCAGAAAAAACTGAGCACCTGAGGCGAGTTATTATTAGTCATTCCTCTTTATGAGCGTCAGTGACGAGGAGTCTTGTCACAGCACGAGGTATATGCACAACTTAACATTTAAACAACACACTGCATTATATTACACACACACACACACACACACACTCTGCTCAGCATTACACAGACAAAGAAGTTCATGTGCCAGCTGTGAAATCCGTGGAGAAAGGTCCCACTTACAGACACATGACATTAAAGCAGCCGACGTGTCTCAGCCTGAATGTGCTCCACGTTCAGGTTGTGATGACGACCGGCTCCGTGTCTGCAGAGCTGAAACTAATGGTTCATGAATTAACAGCAGGGCGTGTGTGTGTGTGTGTGTGTGTGTGTGTGTGGACTTTCACTCGATACATATCCACCATGTGTGATTGATGAAATCTGACTTTGTCTGATCATTATCAGGACACATAAATCAATCATAAATCCGAGCCACTCCTCTTTTAATCAACATCTATGATACTACATGCTGATATGCGTCCTGTGTCTGATTGACCTCGTAAAAATCTTTTGATATAATTATGTTATCACAGATCAAGACTCAACTTAAAAGCTCACCTGTTTTAGTGGAGATAACTTTATTACCATCAGAACACAAGTTCAGCTTTTCTTAACTCGCCTTCGTGAACTCACAGTGCAGCAGGATGGACAAAACATTCAACACAGCATTCTAGTATATATATAACAAAGGATATTATATTATAATATTATATAACTAATACTTTAAATTAAAGTAAAATACACAAAATAAACTACTGACATATGATGAAGGAGAATCCAGACATTTTAAAACATGATAAGGATTTACTACCTCAGTAAACCTTCATTATAACTGAGGTGATGATCTCAGGACTGTATTGATTAAAACAGGAAATCAGGAAGAGTTTTAATTAAAATTACAGGTTAAAGTAGTTGCTAACTGATCTGCTAAGTGGCTACAGGAACTTGATCTTCTCCTGATGCTTTCCCAGGATTCAGCTTTAAAAGTTTTGGATTTAGTGTGTGACTTTAAGGAACTTTGCTCAAGAAAATAATTTTTTTACATTTGCAATTTCAAATTTATTAAAGAACATTTGTATAAAACTCTCTACCTGAAAACATCATATGAAACGTCAGACATCCTGAGATCTTTTTTTCAAACATTGCATGTCTAATGTGTCTCCAGGTTATCGCCATAGCGATGGACGTCTTCACCGATGTGGACATCTTCAAAGAGATCATCAGTGCCACACTGAGGGGGGTGGCGGTCTACATCCTTCTGGATGACTCCCAGTTCAGGAGCTTCCTCATCATGTCGCGCAGGGTGGGCATCAACATCCAGGATTTCAAGGTGAGAGAGACACGGACACTGAGCTGTGAGACTCCACATGAGAGGAAGGAAACTGTCCACAGAGAAGGTTTTATGAATATGCTAGATTCTGGGATAGGACCTCGTGCTCTTCGCTGGGTTTGAGAACACAGAATAATGACAATGTGTTGAGGCCACGGCCCTGCACATGAACACATGTATGTATGAAGTGCACGTGCAAGAGACTCCTGTCAGCCAAACAGCGCCTCTCTTCAAGCCTTAATATATGTATATTTTTTCTAGAAGTCACACATTTGAAGAAGTGAAATTAGCTAGTGAGACGACAATGTCTTTTGGAGAAAGAAAATCTAATTAGTAACTTTGACAGAGATTTTGTGTGGCTCATCCTCAGAGGAAGCGTCTAGTGGCTGGAGGAACTGCAACTAAACATTTGACCATTCAGTTGTGTGTTTTGTTTTAATTTGAAGTCTCACAGTTTCGGAAAATGGGCTCAAATTCTGAAATATACAGTTTGTGTTGCATTTAAACTCATCAAATATGTGATTAGTTGGATTTCATGATAGCAACATGACATACACAACTTTCATTAGGATTTTAAAAAGTAAAATTTTCTAAAATGAAAAATTGAAACTAAAACAGCTGAGTTTTATTTTAATGCTGTATTTCTGCATCTGCATCATCATCAGCCCCAACCTGTTACTTTCCACCCAGCAGTTTAAACATCAGACTAATTTCTGCAGCACTCCACCTGCATGCATTCATCCGATTTTCATACGTTTTTACATTTGAATAATGTGTTATTCTGCAAAACTGTGGAAAACCGGGTGAGAATGTCTGTTGCACAATGACGGGGGGTTTTGCGGTTGAAAACTGGTGCCATGAACAACAACAAACCAAACTAGCACAGGTGGAGATTCACCTTAGAGCAGAGGATTCATTTAAAAGTCTGGAAAATGAACTTAATCTTCTGTTAATCTGCACCTTCCCTCCCTAATATTTACTGATGGCCTCCTAAACTGTTGTTTCCATTGCACCCGAGGATCACATCAAGCAGCGAGTGTGTGTGAGTGTGTGAATAATGAAGGATTTTGGATTAAAAAAACACAATATAAATGCTGTCCTGTCCATTCGTGCATGAACACTTCATGTTGTGCGCGATATGAACAGCAGAAGAGGAAGATCATCGCTTCTTGTCTGGTCAACAAGATGCACAGAAAGATTTGATATCCAGAGCAGCAGTGGGACTGTACAGCCCTCGGACTTGTTAAACATGATCTAATGTTTACATTTTCTGGCATTTGCAAAGAAAAACCCATTTTTTTCTGCTCCTTCGGTCGTACGTTTGCAGATTAGTATTCCACCAATGTTTCCCTGCCAGAGGAAGCTTCGCCTGTGGCATGACCTTTTCCTCTGTTGTGCAGGAGAATTTAGTGGATTAAGTCTGACATTTGCTCCACGCCCCTCGTGGAAATGCTGCCATTTACCAGCGTTTTCCCCCCCTGCTGCGTTTCTACCTGTCACTATCATACGACTCAGCCGCAGCGGCCGTCGGACAGAGCTGTTAGTGCGGCAGGATTTTCCTGTTCAACAGCATCGGGACGATGTTTCAACAGGCCAAACAACAAGTCATCAGGAGGAGCACAGTGATGGCTTTGTGATCTCCCTGCAAATTGCTTAGCCAGTAGCCACATCAAAATACCAACCTCAGAAAAAAATTGATGAACAGGTTTGATCTTGTCGAGTGTTACAAAAGGTGTGTGTGCTTTTATGTGAATGAGTAATGGAAAAAAAAAAAACCTGCTGATCTAATTTCCTGGAATTACTTTGTTTAGAATGTTTGAATCAAATCTACATCAAAATTAACATGGAAATACTTTTTGATTTAGTTTAGGACAGTCTGTGTTTTATGTTATTTTCCTCTGTAGCAGTAAAAAGACAAGCTTGAGATACTTTAGAAGAAACTACAAATACCACCTCAGGTGTTTTTGCAGAACATGATGATGTCACAGTTGTTGACCCTTTGACCCGTCGTCGTCACTTCATTTTATCCTTGTGGACATTTTGAGTTAAATTGTGTCACAATTAGTGAATGAATTCGTGAGTTTACGGCCAAAACCATGTTTGGTGAGGTCACAGTGACCCTTGACCTTTGACCACCAAATTCTGATCAGTTCATCCTCGAGTCCAAATGAATGTTTGTGCCAACTTTAAAGAAGTTCCTTTGAGGCGTTACTGAGATATCACGCTAATTGGACAGATAGATAGATAGATAGATAGATAGATAGATAGATAGATAGATAGATAGATAGATAGATACTACTACTGAGTTAAAATAATGACATAACACGTCATTTGTTTCTGTCCCTGGCTGACTGGGCTGACTTTTATCTCCTTTTATCTGTTGCTCCATCAGAACATCCGTGTTCGGACGGTCCAGGGGCAGCAGTACCAGTGTCAGTCCGGGGTGAAGTTTCATGGAGGTTTGGAGCAGAAGTTTATTCTGGTGGACTGCCGAACTGTTTTGTATGGGACGTACAGGTGAGTCAGAGCTAATCTTCCCTCGTTGCTCTGGCATTTAACATTTGGTCAATCATTTCACCCGGTTCAGATTCAGGACTTAAATCTTACAAATCTTACTTGATGACTGTTTGATGTTGGTTTTACTCTACACTAGTGAATCTAGGCAGGTTGACCTCTCGCGTCATCCCTGCTGGGTTTTTGTTGACTGTGCCTCCATCTTCTTTTTCAGCTATACGTGGTCGTACGAGAAGATCAACGCCAGCATGATCCTGGTGGTCACTGGTCAGCTGGTTTGCTCTTATGACGAGGAGTTTCGAAGGCTGTACGCTCGCTCCACGGTTCCCGCGGTTCTGTCCAGGGAGACTCCAACCATCCAGTACCTGAGAGACTCTGTGGCCTTCCACAGCCCAAACTCCAGCCAACTTTCCCTACACCAAATCCACATGAAATCCAAAGTGATGCACGGCATGAGGAGTGCTCAGGATGATAGGTTTAATAACGCCTCCATGCTAACAAGGGGCCTGAGCATGCAGGAGAGGCTGCATCAGTCTCACTGTCCCGACATAGGGAATCTGGTTCGGGGGCACAGTTATGGCGGCGAACTGCAGAAGTTAACCTCCATGACTCGGCTGAGGATGGGGACCAAGGACATTGGAGTACCAGTTGCTCCCGAGAGGAATGGTTCAAACCTGAGGGGGGGCGGCGACTTGCTGCCAACAAACAGGTCTCAGCAGCAGCTTCGGCATCGCACCCGCTACGGCACGGACCAGAATCTGATACCGTTCAACTCTGAAACGTCACTCCACAGGTGGAAGATCGACACGTACCTGAATGAGAACAACCTGCCTCTAGATGCGTCATGTGATGCAATATCCCCCATGATATCCCCATTTAGCAGTCACACGGGCTTGAACGAGCATCAGTCGCAGCTGATTCACAGCAGGTCGAGGGACATTAAGTCCAGGATGGAAGAGATGCGGCAGAAGAGGCTCAGTCTGCAAGAATATGCCAATCTCAGGCAAAGCCAAGAGTCCTTAAGGTCTATGTATCCCCCTCTAGAAAGACCTAAATTCATGTCTTCATTGAGAGGTCTGGAAATGAGGCAGAGCATGATAGAGTTAGAGCCAAACGCACAAAATGGACGTAACGTGGAATCAGCCCACCAGAAGGTCGTCGAGCCGAACAAGGACGGCAACAAAAGAGAGACAATGCAGACATATGACAGGCATGAGCTTCACTCCAGGACGACATCGGCCGCCGCCGACTTAGATACGAAACAGAACGATCCAGTGCTCAAACTCTCTCATTTGCAGTCCAGCAGTCTGAGTATCCAGCACCCGAGAGCGATGGAGTCTTTGACTGAGATCCCTGAAGAGAGAGAGGGTTCAAATACTCGCATCAACGGTTCAGACTCAGCTGCATTCAACAACGGATGTGAGGAAAATCGCAAGGAAGAAGTAGCTGTTCCGAAGGAGAACTCTGTGAAACCGAGCTCGCCTGCAGAATCGCAGCGTCAGGATCAAGCCAGAGGAAGTCATGGTTCTGTAGGGGAGGTGGCGAACAGTTTAGGCTCAGCTGCTCCTAAAGAAGGAAAGAAATCAGTATCTAATGAGGTAGAAAACAGTCAAAAGGTTATGAACACATCAGCAGGATCTCAGCACACAGTGGAAGCTAAGAGCAGTCACACGGAAAAGCAGCGAGACGAACCGATGCTCCAGAGAAAGAATTCAATGAAAATGAAAGTACAAGCATTGCTTTCATCAGATGAAAAGAAAGCATCTAAAAAAGAGGAGCGATCCCTCCAAAGAAAGGGCTCAATGAGATCACAGACTCCCTCGGGATCAAACCAACCCCTCAGGGCAGACCATTCGCAGGCACCTGCCGCAGAGCAAACAGCAAAGAAAGGTCAATCGCCGAGCAGCTCCCGGTCGCAGAACTCTGTCAGCAGTACGACGGAGAGTGAGAAGCATAAATCTGCATTCCCAAGATTATCTCCTCACCGTTCGAGCAAAAGAAAGACAAACGTCGCAGCAGAGCAGGACCGAGGCTCAAAGAACACTCTGGACGACGAGGGAGCGACTGTCTTTCAAACCAGGAGAGAGAAGGCCTACAGCCGGTACGAGTATTTGCTCAGCACTGAAAGTATTCCTCCGGATAAATCGATGAGGACCGCAAGCATGTATCCCTCAGACAAAGACAGAAGATCCTCCCTGAACAAGCACGAATCCGACTATCCGACGCATCAGACGCAAAGCGGCAATGAAAACAAACTGGGACGATTCATGCAGCGAGTAGGAAATCTCATAAGCAAGAAGTAGAGATACAGTGAATGAATGAAGGCGAAGTCAGTGAGCAGTCCTTGTGTTGTTTTTTGATTTATTTTGGCTCCAACACACATGGACTGATCTTATATCACTGATGCCAAAACACAAGATGTATCAGGTATCTGGTTCCAAATAAGCGTCTCTTGTTTTACTCTGAATTGGATGTTACAAGGAAGCAGGGTTAATGTGAAAACACCAGTCAGTCAAGTCGACACCTGTGGGGCAAATATGACCGTAGTGCTTCTAGACACTGAAAAATATTCTATCAGATGAGTTGAATTGTAAAAATTATTGTTTAAAAAAAGAAAACACTGACTTCATGTTGAATGTGTTTGTTTAGTCTGGTGATATTCTATATTTTGATAAAAACCAAAGCCAGCAATTAATGTATCCTGCTAACAAGGATTGTCCAAATATATTGTCGTTCAAAAACTATTAAAAACACATCACTGAGCCGCACTGTTGCACTGGGTGACATTTTCCTTCATTACCATGAACACACACACACACACACACACACACACACACACACACACACACTGTAGTTTATTTTGACGCGGCTCCACATACACTGTCCTGCTGCTGTAAATACTCACCAGACTCCCCAAATGTGGATTAATCCGCAACTGGAAATAGTCCCAAACAAATGCACTATTTCCTCCTGTTTGAGTAATGTTTGTAAAAAACCTGTAGATGTTCTAGGAAATTACAAAGCTTTTGTTTTTTGTTTTTTAATTGAATGTATATATCAGTGATCCATTTTAAAGGATGTACGTCTTCAGTAGGACGAGCCATAGACACAGTATGGAGTAATGTGGAATGGACACATAAACGCTTTGTTGGTTTTAACAAAAATCATATGATATCATCACACTCAGCCTAATTAGCCTTAAATTTTTATTTGTCTAATTTGACTTTTTTTTCCAAGTAAGGAGTCATATGACACATTCGGCTCTCCATAGACTTAATGATTTTGACATTAGTGTGTTCCTGTTTGAAGCACAAGGCTGCGAAACACGGTAAAATCCACATATTTAATTAAACAAAACACACGCCGCAGCCACACTGACCAAAGGGACATGTAGCCTTGAAACCAAGTCGATGACTTTACAGAAGTCACTGTGACCTTTTTACATTGGAACTACTTTCCGCTGAAGAAATAGTTTTATTTTGAAAAACCTGATCACAGTAACCAGGACGTTACTTCTGGAAAGAGATTCTGCTGTTGCCTATATAAAGGTAATTTTTCAATGCATGTCGCAGCACTTGCAAAATCCCATTCACCATCCCATTGTGTTGGTGAAGCAGAAGAACTGACAGGAACAGATACCTCTGCACGAATACTAATATCTGTACTATGTGATGCTACTAGTACTAACTGCCTGTATGGAGATGTGCCACAATCGGCCAATTAAAATATATATGTTTGTTTGTGGTGGAAGTGAGTGGAAGTTCATTGTTGACTTGACTTGTTTAGAAAATAACTCAACTCTATATGTCCATTTAGTAGCTATTTTGGAGCTTTCCGCCATAGCTTGTGATCTTCTTCAGCAGATGGCGTTCACCCAGCTGTCATGTGATTGTAGCTGTGTAAATTAATATTTTGTCTGAGCACTTTAGGGCCTTCTCATCTAAGGCCTTAAAGTGCGAAATGATAGAAATTTATAAACGTGCAATTCTGGCACAACTGGGAAAACTTTGTCTCCTGAGGAAGATCACAAGATATGATCCAAAGCTCCAGAACAGCTAGTAAGTGGACCTTGAGTTGAGATTAAAAAAAAAAAAAATTTTTAAAGTTAAATGACACTTTAAACTGTCATTTTCTGTTGTAAATGTTTGTGAATAGTTTTCATGAGGTTTACATTTTTACATGTTGAAATATCCACTGTAAATATTCAATGTGAAAAGAAGTGTTGATATTAAAGACACTTAATCCCCATGTAGAATTTCACTTGTGTTGTTTTTGTGAAGAGATGGGAGGGTCAGCAACAAACTGTCTGACGCTGAGCTCTTAGAAGATACAATTAAAGATCTCTGTCAAACTACAGGGACACAAGACTAAATATCTGCAGCCACAGTAGCACCCCCAAGAGGTTGTTTTGTTCATTACACGCCAGAAAACAAAACTGATAAATGGACTCAAAATGGAGAGACAACTTCTTAACAGCAGCTTTATTCCCTTGCATACTTTCAGGACAATGCCACTAACTTTTATTTTTTATCATATTGGTTAAATATAGTTTTTATAAACTGTTAGAGCAGCAGCAGCAGCATTGTTCTTCAAAGTAATAAAAATAAATAAATATGGACACAGGATGACAAAATTGCACAACAAAATTTCGCACATTGAGGGTGTGTTTATACCTTTATTTTGAAATGACTGAAAAATATCTACAATCTGTATAATAATAATGATAATAAGTTATCAACATAATATATAAAATAAACAACTTTTATGTTCAAGCAGTTGTTTCTCATGCGTTTAGTTTATTTGTATGGCAGGACGACCTGTGTTTCGCATAATATAAAACATGGAGGATTTCTAGATAAAATACTCCAGGCACTTGTTCCTCTCATCATCCAGCTCTTGGGTCTCAATCTCAAACTTTTTCATGGCGATGAAATACTGAACGAACGGCTCCCCGAGGGTGCTGCGGATGACGTGATCGTCCCCCAGCGCCTCCAGAGCGTCGTCGAGCTTCACGGGGATGGAAAATTCCTTCTGCTGACTGGGGGCTTTGTTCAGGCCGCTCTCAAAGTTCAGGTTCCGTCTGATGCCGTCCAGACCTGCGGCCACTGTAGCGGCAAGCACGACGTAAGGGTTGGCCATGGCCGAGCCCAGCTTGTTGTCAATGTGCGTCTCCCGCCCACCGTGACATTTGATGTTGAAGGAGCTGCTGTTATCGTTGCTGCCACAGGTGGCGTACAGCATCCGTTTGGGGTCTTTGATCGACTTGGCGATGTGGCTCCGGCAGCCGAGGCCTGGCGACATCAGGCAGCTCAGTGCAGCAGAGTGGTTGAGGAGCCCGGCCAGCCATTTCCTGCCAATCTCAGACAGCTCGCCTTGCTTCTCCCCGCTGTGGAAGAGGCTACGTCGCCCATTAGCATCCCACAGGCTGTGAGAGAGCACCCCAGCGTTGTACAGGCCATCGTCGGTGAAGAAGCTGGCGATGTAGCTGTGTTTACGAGCCATTTCTTTGATGCCGGTGCGGAAGGTGAAGGCGCTATCTGCAGCCGCAATCCCGAACTCTGGCCTCAGGTTGATCTCCATCTGGCCGGGCCCGCTGGCAGAAGCGATGCTGTCTATGTCTGCGCCCATGCAGTACATGCTGTCCACCAGCTGCTGGAAGAAAGGCAGGTCGTGGTTGCTCAGCAGGGTGGTGGCAGGGAACAGGAGCGTCTTTGGTCCGATCCGATCTGGCGCTCCCAGGACGCAGCATTCGTAGGTGAAGGAGGCGTGCAGGGAGAATCCCAGGCTTTGGAGCTGGCCGAGGAGCTGCTTGGCAATGAGGCGTGGCGAAGTGCGAAGGGGGCTTCCTGTGACTGTGCAGGGGTCACAGATGACCCGGGCTGTCTGCTCGGCCCAGGGTAGGACCCTGAAGGTTGCAAGGTCGGGAATCAAAAGGACATCACTGCTGAAGTTGGCAGTGTTCGCGTTGTCCACTTCGTTACTCTTAGGACTCAGCGTTAGCTCCAAGTAACTTCTCGGCATTGGAACCCCGTATACGGCTTTCTCCTGCGGATGCAACGTTTACATTAAAGGAGAATCCTAACACTTCTGGGAAATACATTTATTTGCTTTCTTTAACAAAGAAAGATGAGGAGATTGAAATCTAATTTATACAGACAACTATTTCTATTCTACTGTAGGAGATGCGTCCGTCAGTGAGCATTACAGGTGTGTATTTATGAGCTTCAGAGAGCTAGCTGCTTTGGCCTGCTTCTAGTATCTGTGCTAAGCTAGGCTAATCGCCTCCTGTCTCCAGCTCCATACTGAACTATTCAAACTCATTTCTGCCTTTTCCTACTACAGCAATCCATAGATGGATGGATGGATGGATGGATGGATGGATGGATGGATAGATAGATAGATAGATAGATAGATAGATAGATAGAGTTCCATACATGGAAGAAGCGAACAGGCACTGTCTTGGACCTGGACACCCCGTGGAGATCGGTGGCCTCGAAGCGGACAAAGTTGATGTTTTCTCGGGCGATTTGCTGCTTGATCTGCTCCATGGCTGCTATGAACCTCTGATTGCCGGAGAACTCGACCGTATCGTTCCCGTTATCTGTAGAAAACAGTTTGAAATATCTGACCATTTCAGTCAGGCCAAAGTCAATACCAAAACCAGTTCCGTTTGATTTGAAGTCAATACTGAGAAGAAGTAGACCAATAAGTTTGACATTAGCTCATTGCAGATGTGTCCGTATTGGTGCATATGTTGGCCAATAAGTAAAAATAAATAAAGTGTGGAGTAGGTTTGAGATAATCTAGGAACACACGCCAACAAATAGATTTTTACACTGTAAAATGTCTCGTTCTGTATGTATTTGAGTTGCAATTAAAATACAAAAAAACATCCTGCTACCAACATTGCTATGTGTTTTTATGTAAAAAAAAAAAAAAAAAGGAAAAAAAAAGACTTAATAGACAATTTATTTAAATCTTTTTTTTTTTTTTTAAATCTCACAAATATCAATAAATCAGGAGAAAATTTAATCCCATTGAAAAACAACCTCAAAATAGAGGATGGAGCAAGATGTTCCAGTTGTAGAAATAATATTTTTTTGGTTTTATAGAAGGTAAAAGATGATTACAAAGCCAGCTTCAAGTCAAAGTCATCATTTGAAACGTCCAAATAAAAGAAAACACACATAGAAAATGTTCAAGAAATCAATATCTGTCATTAATTAAAACAGGAACTAAAATAAGACAAGTCCAAGATTTTTAAAGCGAGACTTAAGACAGAGACAAGAAGTTTGTCCTGACCATCAATGATCTGTGATAAAGGTCCATTTATTTTTCTAAATTTTGACTTCGTTAGAAAAGATATTTCTTGATTTGGGATGAAATTTCAATCGCGGATAAACTTTTAACCAAAGCTTCACCAACCTGTATGAGAAGCTCCCGTCCCTTCCCAGGAGCCACCGCTTGCATATGAGTGTGCACTGACTCCCGGCTGTCTATTTGTGTTGGCATCAGACCTGAATG